GTGAAACAGACCGATTTGGAGAGAGAAAGTCCCTTGCAGACGAGGTGGGAAGCAGCAAGGGACCCAGGGGAGAGGTGGTGGGGAAGGAACACACAAGGAGGAGAGGTTTGCAACTGGTGAGGGGCAATGTAGGCTCCTCGGGGTCAGAATTGGCTAAAATAAGCCTGACTTCCAGAAAAGGACATACTTCAGGGAGGGGTTCCTTGGTGCTTTACCAAAGTTCTCTTCCAGCCACCTCGTAGTTCTGTCTCACTCCCAACAAAGCCTTGGGCCCTGACCCGTTCCACTAGCAACTCATCCTTCTGATGGTCTTTGCAAACTCATGTCATAGAATCAAGTTCCAATGGCATTCTCTAGAAATGCCCAGAGTAGAAAAGTGTAACCTAGAAGTGGGCGCCCAGAGAGAGGGTTAGCGCGAGTACCCACGGGCCCTGGAATGCACAGGTGCTGGAGCACCGAGACGCAGGTGGAGGTGGATGAAGATGCTTAATTTCCAACTCTGACATTGCTGCAATGCTGCAGATCAAAAGGCCTGACATACAAGGAGTCTCAGAATGGATGAAATCAGGAACAGGTCCACAGAGGTTCCAGTCAAGGTGAAGTCAAGATGATTAAGGTGAAGAAGACCTTTTAAGAGCATCAATGTCGAGGATTTCAACCAAGAAAACAAAGAAACTAACCTATCAATGGAGAGTGTGGATTAACAGACACACCGAGAAAGGTCTGCGCGTGTCAGATGCATCGGAAGAGAGAGTGGCCTGGGTCAGAAGAGACTTGAGTGGCAACATGACGGAGGGTGAGAGGTATGTGGCCACATCAAGGAGCTCTGACATGCTCACTGGGTACCCAAAGGGAGAAGAGACTTTTTCTAGGAGAAAAAGAGGAAATTGCCCAAGCTTTTGAAGGAGAACAGTTTACAGGTCCGATGTAATTACTCAATGCACTCCCAAATATGACAGACACAGACATGTAGACACTTTATAGTAAAAGCATTCCACAGGATTCTCTGCATGGAGCAATGGCATAGCAGAGTCTACTGTGCAGAGGTGAAGAGCAGAAGACAACAGAGTCAAACTACTGGGAGCTTTATTTTCCTCTTCCTGCGGAAAGAGACAACACCAGCATCTGCTGGTGGTGCTTACTCCAGGATCTTTGCAGATGCCAGCCCATTAGCCGCAGTGTTTAAGAGTGGCTTTGAATTAAGGAGGCTAATATTATTTCATGGTGACTACAGAAAAAAGGAAAAAAATAAGTAAAGTAAAATAAATTTTATGAAAGGTGACTAATATTTGTAAAGTGCTGATAGTAGCTTCCAACACAGGGGAGGTGCTTCTAGTTTGCAGTTGCTTTTTAATATCAAGGTTATTGACAAATTTAAAATAAATTTGGGGCTGGAGTGAAGTACAGCATGTAGGGCTATATCCTGGCCCCCGTATTATCCCCTGAGCCTCTCCAGGAGTGATCCCTGAGTGTAGAGCCAGGAGTAAGTCTGGAGTACTGCTGGGTCACTCCCAAGAACAAACAAAAATTTCCTCTTGAGCACGTGCTAATGGACACCCCTGTGGAATTTAGGAGAAATAACCCAGGCTACAAAAAAAACGGGCAGGGAGGTGGTTTCACAGGAGAGTACTGGCCCTGCCTGAGCCCTGGGGAAACCCCTCTGCAAGTGATTTTTGAAATCTTTGATCTCTGTGAAAATGGATGCGGCCCGACCTGGCCTCCCTGAGCAGAGTCGCTGCGATGGGGAGCTACATGGTCACGTCTTTCTGTCTTTCTACTCTGTTCTGTCCACACCTGGCTAAAATGTGCTAGTGGGGTGGGGGTGGGGAGTGGCTGCAGGGAAGGCGCTTGCCAGCTCCCGACCGGCTCCCCAGCCGGTATTCAGAGCCAGGAGCCAGGCAAGGCTTTAAAACAAATGCTAGTGGGTATCAGCTAAAGTCATCAAAAATATCCACGATGGCTTGAAGTCTGTGGTCTGATCAAACACACACACCACCGCCCCCTCCCCAAGTGTAAAGTGGCCTGTCTGGCTCTGGTGTGGTCAGCCGGGGTCTGGTGGCCCTGGCCATGCCCGAACCAGCATTCCCAGGTGTGGTCCTCAGACCACGCTGGGGCCTTGCACCAGAGGCTCCCAGGGACCCTCGCGCCCTGGTGTGTGTCCACGGGCTCCCATGGCCCAAGTCCACGTGCAAGCCAGTCTCCTGCCGTCGCCTCTCCTGTTCTGTTGGGTGTCAGAACAGCAGAAGGCCCTCACCTGGGTGGGGAGGGGACGATGGTGAGGTCCTACTTGCAGGTTCCCCCCTCCCCCCCGCTGGCCTCCCTCCTCGCTCCGTTCCTGCTCACCTTGACCCCAGCTCTGACCCTAGGGAACTTTGCCAGTCCCGAATGTTCTTGGAGGGGTCCCTGGGTTTGGGACTGGACGAGAGTGTTCAGGAGCCCAGGTTGACAGAGGCTGGGCTGCTCCCTCTCCTGCTCCTCCCTTGCCAGGAAAGGAGGCCGGGAAGGGCAGCTGCTCACTAGCCCTCACTGCAGCGTCCAGGGTCAGCGGGTGGGAACTCCCCATGGCAGAAGAGAAAGAGGAGCCGCAGTTAGCCTCTCTCGGTATTGACTGAGATGCCTGATTTCCCCTGAGCGGGGAGGGGGCTGGTGAGGAAGTGCGGGTCCCCGGGAAGCCTGAGGCTGGGAGGGTCCAGACACGGGGCAGCGAGCAGCTGCTTCCCACCTCTCCCCCCTGCTCTGGGTCCGGGGGCTGCTGGCGCTCCCTGGAGGGGGCGTTTGGGGGGTCCATCGCGTTTCCGCATAGCCCCTCAGACCAGACCGCATCTGCTCCCCGAGGCCACAGCCAGGAGGCTTCCGGGGACCACCGAGCCCGAGCCCGCGGGGTCGGGGGTGGGCGCGGCGCGGTTGGCTGGGGCTGCGCTCTGCAGTCCGCTCTTAACTGCCCGCGCCGGGGCGAGGGTCTGGCCGCGCGCCGCCCGCGCCCCTGCCGCCGGGATGCAGGTGCAGACGACGTGTGGATTCCGGAGAAAGGCGCTGCGGGGGCCGCGGGCGGGGGTCGTGGCCCCGACGCCGCCGGCCAGAGGCTCGGTCGGGCTGCGCGCGGCCAGCCCGACCGTGCGCGGAGACCCGAGTGGGCGACCCGGCGCGGCGGCGCGGTGGGGCGCGCGGAGACGGGTTCGACCATCCAGGCGGGGGCCACCGGCACCGGGTGGGGTTGGCCCGCGTCTCCCGCACCTTCCGGTGCCCGCGTGGACTTCTGGATCTGCCTTGTCCCGAGTGTTAGCGGAGGCGGAGAGCTGACTCCTCACTCGACGGCCACGGGAGGAAGGCGTCGCGGGGGGAGATGCCACGGGCGGAAGGGAGGCGCCGCGGGCGGGAGATGCCACGGGCGAGAGGCGCCCGGAGGAAGGGAGGGGCCGCGGGAGGGAGATGCCCCGGGGGAAGGCGCCACGGGAGGAAGGTGTGTCGGAGGCGCCCGACGCCCCGGGACCGTCTGCCGGGCGCGGGCAGACGCGCCGCCGCCGGGCGGGCAGAGGCAGCGCCGCGGGGCGCCGGCCGCGTCCCTAAGCTCCCCGGGGGTCGAGTCCCGGCCGCCGAGACCGGCGCGGGGCCGGCTGGAGGCCGGTCCCAGGGGCTCTCCGTGTCGCGGGGAGCCGGCACCGGGACCCCCAGGCCGGCGCCCGGAGCCCGACTTGCGTCCGGCCCCACGCGGAGACTTTCGGCCGGTCGCGCGTCCCCCACTCGGGAGGACTTTCGACCCCTGCGCGTGGCGGGGCGGGGTCGGGCGCACGGGACGGCCTGTCCCGCCCCGTCCTGGGGAGGAGGACGCACGTGGGGGCGCGGGCGGGCGCTCCCGCGAGGTCCAGGCGGGGCGGCTGTGCTGTCTGTCCTGCGCGCCCGCCCGTGGCCAGAGCCCCCCTCGCTGCCTGCCGCGATGCGGGTCCGGCCCGAGTGCGCGCGGCCCCCGGACAGACCCCAGGGCCGGCGGGGCAGGGGCTGCCCGCCCGCGCTTGGGCTCCGGGACACGTGTGCGTGGGCGCCGCTGCGCAGGGCGCGGCTGGGCGACCGCCTGAGGCCAAGCCCCGCAGTGGACAGTCGCGGGAGAGACCCGGGGGAGCCCGCCGGCTCCCCGTCCCGTGCCCACGCGGGGACTGTCCTCCCGCCGCTTCCCGGCGCGCTCCGGCTCCGGGTCTTAGCGGCGGCCGGAAGGAGGCGGCACGTGGGCGGGCGGGCAGCGGGGGGGGGGGGGGACACTCGGCCACACCGCGGCCCCGCCGGACAGGGCCACCCCGCGGGGCTCAGGCACCCGGCGTGCCCCCGGCACGCGCCAGCCCGCCTCCGGGGTCCCCTTCGCGACCCGCGGCGCCGCCGTGGGGCCCGAGGCGTCGGGACCCGCGTCCTGCCCAGCGCGCCCAGGGCCCCACGTCGGCGAGGCGGTGCCGCCGGCCGGCCCGAGCGCCGCCGCGGAGAGCCCCGCCCCGCGCTGTCCCCGCCCCTCCAGGCCCCGCCCCCGATCGAGCCGGCCCCGCCCCTTCCTGCCGCCCGCCGCCCGCGCGCACCGCCCGCCGCCCCAGCCCGCGCCCGGGCCCCGCCCCCGCGGCAGGCCCCGCCCCCGGCCGCCGGCCCGGCCTCCTCGCGGCCAGGCCCCGCCCCGCCCCGCGCCGGCCCCGCCCCCTCCCGCCGGCCGGCCGGCCGCCGGCGCGCGGTGCCCGCCGCCCCGCCCCGCGCCGGCCCCGCCCCCGCGGCAGCCCCGCCCCTCCCCGCCGCGGCCCCGCCCCTCGCCCGCGGCCCCGCCCCCTCCCGCCGGCCCGCGCGCGCCGCCCCGCCCCGCCCCGCCGCGCCCCGCCCCGCCCGCGGGCGGCCCGAAGACCCGGAGCGCGCGGCGGCGCGTCCGCACTGGGCATGCTCAGTCGGCCGCCGGGCCGCGAGCAGGAAGCCGCCCGCGCCCGCCGCCCAGGCCCCCGGCCCGCCGCCCCCGGCCCGCCGCGCGGGGCCATGAGCGCGAGCGCCCGCCGGCCCGCGGGGCCCTGAGCGACCCGGCCCCGCAGCGCGCGCCGCGCGGGCGGGAACAAAGTGCCGGCATGGCCTCCGAGGAGCTGTACGAGGTACGGGGCGCGCAGGCCGCGCGGGGGTCGCGGGCGCGCCGGGCCGGCCCCGCCGCCCGCCCGCGAGCGACGCGCGCCGCTTCCGCCGCCGCGGCCCGGCCAGCGCGCCCGCCGGGCCGGGCCGGGCCGGGAGCGGGCCGGGCCCCGCGCGCCCCGGAGCCGCCGCCGTCGCCGCCGCCGCCGCGCCCCGCGCCCGGGTGCCCGGCCGCGGCGCGGACCCGCGGGGCGCGGGCGGCGGCGGCGGCGGGAACTTTGCGGCTGTTGGCGAAGTTGGCGCCCCCCGCCGCTCCTGTCAGCCGCGGCCGCCCGGCCGGGCTCGGGGCTCGGGGCTCGGGGCTCGGGCCGGCCGGGGGCTCGCCCGGGGGCGCACGTGCGCGCGGAGCGGAGGCCGCCGCGGGCCGGGCCGGGCGCAGGTGGGTCCGCCCGGCCGCTCGGTCCCGCCGCGGGACCGTCCGCCTCGGGGACCCCGCGTGGGGCCGCCCCTGCCGCGTCGTGTCCAGCGGGCCGCCGGCCTCTGCGGGCGCGGCGGGCCGCGTCCGTCTCTGCCACGTGGTGTCCAGCGCGCGTGGGTGCCCCACGCCCGGGACGTGTCTGCCGGCCCGGAGCGCCGTGCGGGAGCGTGAAGTTGGGGCGGGGGACTCCACTTCGCGTCCCTTCTCCTGAGAGCTGCTTGGGCGACCTGGGGTCTTTCGGAGTTCCCCTCGAACTTTGTTCCGAAAACGATAGGTCGTGGCAGGCGACTTGGGGGTGTGTGTCAGGCACGGGGGGGCGGGGGTGCCCACCGAGTCGCTGCGTCTTCCCGAGGCCTCCCCAGGCCTCTGCCGTGCCCGCCAGCCCGAGTGCCGGTCCCACCTCTGCCGCCCCCCGCACGCTCTGGTGTCTGATGCCCGGCCTCTCTTTCCTCCACGAGAGGGTCTGGTGCTCGTCTCACTCTCGGGCTCCTTTCCCTGGCGTCACCCGCTCCGCTTCCACCCAGGTTGCAGCCAGAGCAGTCTGCGGGGCACCGGACGGGACCGCCCGAAGGTGCTTGCCTCGCGCGTTGTTCACCCGGTTCGGTCCCAGGCACTGGGGCTGGATCCTGAGCACCTCTGGGCGTGGCCCCCAAACAAAACCAAAGGCCAAACCCGTGACTTGGTCTCTTCACGTCGCTGAGCAGTGCAAGGCGGGTAGAGTCTGCCCGGCGCCTGTTGTTGGGTACAGGTTGCTTTCAGAGCTTGGCTGTTTGTGGCCCAACAGCCCTCGGGGTAGATGCCCAGGAGCAGAATGGCCGGGTCCAGAGGAAGCTCTACTCTCAATTTTTGGAAATATCCCCACACCATTTTCCAGAGAGGCGGAGCCAGCCACCGTTCGTCAACTTGATCACTGACTGTTGCTGGCTCTTGTACCGACCCTCTTGCTGGCGTGAAGCGAGGTCTTACAGTCATCTTGATCTGTGTTGCCCTATAATCGGTGGGGATGAACACTTATGAATGAATGTAACTTAGTTATCTCTTCCTCTCCCTGTGTTTTGATGGGGTGTTTTTTTTTCCCACTTGTGGTTGAGCTTTGAGGATGCTTTGTCTATCTTGCATGGTGGGCTTTGCTTTCTTTGCCACCGTGGTCATCTCGTGGCCTAACCCTCTGAGGCTGGACCCTTGGTGAACCCTGGCTTTGTTTGCCTTATAGACGATGCAGGCCGATATCGAAGTCTTTTTTGTTCTTGATTTTGGGTCACACCCAGGATGCTCAGGGGTTACTCCTGGCGGGTTCGGGAATCAGATGGGGTGCCGGATTATCAAACTCGGTCAGTCACATGCAAGGCAAGAAGAGTTGAATTTTGCTTTTTCACATGAGGCTCACATACCGTGGTTGGTTTTCTGCCGTTGTTCTAGCAGTTTGTGGAAGAGGCTTGCCGGTGTGTGAACCAGCTGGCTCTACACCTGAGGGTCACCCTGTGCTCAGCTGTCTTCCATTCCTTCCAGTACCCTGTGGTTTGAATTACTGCAACTTTGTACTGAAGCTTAAAATTGTGAATGCAGCGACTCCCACCTTCCCTTTTCTCAGGATTGTTTGGTTATTCTGGGAGTTTTATGGTACCGTATATTTAGAACTATTTGTTCTGTTCTTGAACAGTGCCCTGGGGATTTGGGTAGGGGTTGTGTATCTGGAGATCACTTTGGGTAAGATGGTCACCATTGATTTCTCCAGTCCCTGAGCAGGGTTACACTTACATCTCCTTGTGTTTCCTTTCTATCAGAAGTGATTCATAATTTTCGCTAACTGTGCCTTTCCCCTTCTTTGCTGAATTGTCCCAAGACATTTGGGTGTGTTTTTGATACACTTGTAATTGGATCTTTTCTAAGTCACCATGTATTTCTCCTCCACAGCTCTGTTCACACATAAGAATGTAAGTGATCTCTGTGCATTGATTTTGTGGCCTGCCGCTTTGCTGTATAGGGTTATTGTTTCTGGGAGTTTTGGGTGGCATCTCTGTGTATAACGTCTTGTCTTCTGCAGTCGTGAGAGTTTGCTTGCTGTCTCTTGCCTGATTGCCGTGGCAGGCACAAGCAGCACCATGTAGTCGGGGTGGAGACGGCCTTGGGTAAGGGTCCTCCATGTCCCCACAATGATGATATTCCCCCAGGGCTTGTGGTCTGTGGCCGTAATCCAACTGAGAGAAGTGCCTTTAACCCCCATTTTGCTGACAGCTAAAATGGGGCGGTTTTTTTTGCGGAAAAAAAAAAAAAACTCAGCAAAATGTTAGATCTTGTCGAGTGCTTTCTCTGCATCTCTGGAGATGGTTTTATGGGTTTTGTCTGTTGATTCTCGTGCTGTGTGGCGTTAATTGATTTGCACACATCGGCTCCTCCTTGTGGCTGGGGTGAGTCCCAGCTGGCCGTGTGGGGTGTATTGTTGGGTCTGGGTTGCTGAGACTCTAGCGAGGAGCTGTGCATCCCTGTCCGCAGAGGTAGTTCAGTGACCTTGGAAAGTGTGACTGGACCCTTGATGGGGACAGTGCCATGTCTCTCCTGGGGTTTCTGTCAGCTTCCCGTTTCTTTGGACAGCTGACTGTTCTGGGAGAGGCGAGACGCAACTCGGTTTCGGCTTCCTCCCAGTGCCCCGGGAGTCTTGCACATGTGGACCCCACTTCAGGGCTGGAGTCGGCCCGTGGTAGACTGAGTCCCATCGAGTCCCATCTCTGCTGCCCTTGAGCGCCCTCAGTTAGCCAGTGCTGCTGGTGTCACCTGCCATAAAGCCTGCAGCTCATCTCAGATCCCAGCTAGGGGGCGGGCTGTTCCCCAGGTGTGCTGCGTGACAGACCGTCCTGACAGATGCTACCGTGGGGTGACCAGGCAGGCGGTCAGCTGTGGGCACTGACTGCTGCTCCAGGCGCAGGGCAGCACTTGGAGAAGGGCCGGCTGCCTGCTTGTGCAGTCCAGGGGGAGCAGGACCAGGGAGAGACTGGTCAGTCCTGCGTCCCAGATCCCCCGGCCGGCTGTGCAGAGCGGGCACGAGGCGCTGCCCCCACCCACTCCCTGCCCTGCTGGCCTGAGGGCCTTGCGTCCTCCAGCCCCTCCTGTGTCTCCCCTCAGGCTCACTCTGCAGCTCTCTAGTCAGTCCTTGCTCTGCACTTACCTCTCTCTGAGGGTGCCACACACCCCATGAGCACCTCAGGGGGAGGGTCTGTGTCCCCAAACAGGCGTGGAGATTTCTCTGTAAGTGGCCTCCCAGCGTGTGGGGGGATGTGCAAGGCCCTGTAAGAGTGTGAACGTGAGTGTGTGTGTGTGCGCGCGCTGGCGTAGTATCTGCCGTGTGTGTGTGTGTGTGTGTGTGTGTGTGAGAGAGAGAGAGAGAGAGAGAGAGAGAGTATTGGCTGCTGCTCCCTGTGGTCTGAGGGTGTGGCGGGGTTGCTGTAAGCCCTCCCTGCCCAGGCCCTCTCCCTACGAGAACAAGTGTGTCCATCCTTCCCTCAGCTGCGGGGCTCTTGTCCCTTGGCCCCTGAATCCTGGCCCACCCTTTAGCCTCCTTTCTCCGTAGAATAAAATCTCGTGTGTCCTGGAACCCTTTACAACACACGGCTCAGTGGCTCCCCTGTTGAGGAGAGTTGGCTCCTCCCTTCTCTGGGGAGCTGCCTGCTCTGTGCAGCTGGCTGCAGGGTGACCCCTGGTCTCGGCCACATGCAGCCCCTCCCATAGGTACTTCTCCTGGTGGGAGACACCCACTCTGTCCCCATTTGGACGTTTCTGCTAGCAGCATGAGCAGCTGCAGAGAGCTCCCTGCGGCCTCCGTGGCCTCTGCAGGTGCGTTCTCACTGTCAGGAACTGTTGTCCTGAGGATTCGGAGCTGTGGATATCCTGATCGTGCTTTGCGGGGCTCTTTAGCTGGGTATAAAGCACTTGGTTGACCTGAGGCCGTGGAAGGCTGCCCGTGAAGTGGGCTGCTGAGATCCTGGCAGTAAGGCTCATGCAAAGCTCTCGGCTCTCTCCTCGAGGGTCTCTGGGTGGGGGTGTGGCTGTGACCCCTGTGGAACTGTGTCCAAGAGTCCCGGGTGGGTGATCTTGGAAGGGTGCTGAGTCCCCCGCCCTCCCCTTTAGTCCCCGAACCATAGAGCTTCTCTGATACCGGTTCTGGTTCTCCTGTGCGATGCCTGGACTTGGCTGGTGAGGCCACGGGGGTCCTAACCTCCTGACCGCGTGTCCCTGGCCTCTCCCCCACCCCCAATGACTGTGACTTTGCTGCTCGGCGGCTGCTTCTGGCCGTCGGCTCCCTGGGGGTCTTGTCCATGGGGGCGTTCAGTGCTGTGAGCCCCCTGGCACTGCTCAGCCTCACGTGCCTTCATTTTAGCAAGGATATTTCCTTGTTTGAGGACTGAACAGTACATCGGTAGGGCACTTGCTTGCCTGTGGCCAACATGGGTTCGATCCCCGGCACCTCACTGGTCCCCTCGACCCATCAGGAGGGACCCCTGAGTGCAGAGTCAGGAATTAGCCCTGAAGAGAATCATTCCCACATTTCCCTCC